ATCGCCATCATCGTCATGATCATCAGCATCATCATCATCAGCAGCATCAGCATCACCATCCTCCTCCTCCTCCTCCTCATAATCATCATCATCAACATCAACATTAACATGGCCATCCTCCTTGCTGATGTCTCACCACCGCCGCCATCATCGAAATCAGGGAAAAAAGGAACGAACGCGGGGAGGCGGAGGAGGGCACCAAGAGACCGCCGCGGCAGAACTCTCGGGCCGGGCTAAAGGGGAGATGGCAAAGAGGGGGTTTGACAATCAGCTCAAGTAGCTGATTTTCCTGGCTCCCCGGCGGCGGGGGCCGAAACCAGCGGCGTGCAGCAGATTTCGTACCCCACCCTTAATTACCCAATCCCCCCCTTTCGCCCGGCCCGAAACTCCTGAGGACGACTGCGCCGCCGCGCCGCCCCGCCGCCGCGCCGCGCCGCGCGCTGCCTGCGCCGGCGCCAGCCGCGCGGGACGCCGTCGGGGCTCAGGAGGAGGAGGAGGAGGAGGAGGAGGAGGAGGAGGAGGAGAAACAGGAGGAGGACGAGGAGGGGGAGGAGGAGGAAGCTTGCTGCCCCCCCCCGCCCGCCAGGTGCACAATCGCGGTGAAGAGCGCGGTGAAGACGGCGTAGAGGCCGAGCCTGGGCGGGTGGGGCGCGGCACCTGCTCCTCGGGCTGCCTCTTCGCCCCCCCGGAGACGGAGCAGGGACCGACCGTCCCGGCCTTCCTATGGGCCTGCCACGACATTAGGGAAACAAAAAGTGCATAAACATACAAACTCGGAGGTCTCGGCGCTGGGGCCCCCCGGCGGCGCCTCTGGCGCCGCCCCTGGCGCGCTCAGCGCGCCAGGGAGGGGGGTCCAGCGCCGATCCGAGAAATCCGCGCGGACCTCCGAGTTTTATGTTTATGCCACTTCTTGTTCCCCTGGACATGTTCCTAGAACCCAGCGGTGTTCCTGGGACCGACCGCCCCGGCCTTCCTGCAGAGCAGTTTTGAATACATTGGATTTCCTTTTAAACATAGGGTTTGTAATACAGGATTCATTTAGGAATGAATTTATGCGTGAATTCATAGTTGTTTTTAGTACAAAATCCGTGCATTTTTAGTACATGATGCGCACGCGGAGCATGTATAAAAAACGGCAATGCGTGGGCCTACCACGACATTTGTTCCTGGAACCCAGCGGTGTTCCAGGGGCAAAAGACAGTGTCCGTAGATCACGGACGCGGTGTGTCAAACGAAGCATTCCCAGCCAGAAGTGCCCTAAAGAACATCTCGTGCAGACCACAAACAGGCTCTGAGAGCCGTCTCTGGTGGGCAGGCATACAGGTACGCCAGGGCGATTCGCCACCTCTTGAAAAGAAGCCACATCGCGTCGGCGATCCCCCCCTCCTGCGGCACGCTCGGGGCGCCCCTGCGCGGCGGCTGCGCCGGCGCTGGCTGGCTCAAGCTGGAAGGCCACCAGCGGCCCGACCGGGCCCGGCCTCGAACCGTGAATGCTGCTCGCTATGGGAGTGCGCTACACATTGAACAGGTCTGGACCTAAACGTTGTGTTTCGATTTGGTTTCGTATTATTCTTCGATTTGCTCTACCTTTGTCCCTGTACCTCCCTCCCGAAACGAAAAACAGAACACGACCGAAGTCCGGCAGGACACCGGCTAGATCCAACCCTGACATTGAACAGTCGGTCGCGCGGGGCCGAAAAATACCAACGCCACCGGCGGCACGAGAGGCGCCAACCCCAGTGTTGCCGCGGAAGCGGAATAGGCTGGTGATGACGATTCCTCCGCTTCCCGCGGATGCCGGATGCTGCAGTCACTCCTCCAACTCCTCCTCCTCCTCAGGCTCCTCATCCTCCTAATCATCATCGGCATCATCAGTATCATCATCAGCATCAGCATCAGCATCAGCATCATCACCATCACCATCACCATCACCATCACCATCACCATCACCATCACCATCACCATCATCATGATCATCATCATCATCATCATCATCATCATCAGCATCATCATCATCCTTATCATCATCATCATCATCATCATCATCATCATCATCATCATCATCATCAGCAACAGCATCATCATCATCATCATCATCAAACTAGCACTACTCTTTGCATGTCGTCCCTGCATTTTACCCCGACATACTTTATCTACGAGCCCGTCCTAGTGGAGGACGGGACGGGGGAGGGGAAGCGGAATGGGGAGGGCTGGGGGAAAGGACAAAGCGAGCGGCTGTGAGGGGAGAGGGGGGAGGGGGAGGAACGCAAAGTCGAACAGGTGAGAGCGCAGGGGATGCAGAAGGCTTTGAAGGGGGGGCGGCGGAGAGGAAAACACCTGGGAGTGGTGAAAGGGGGGGGAGGGGAGCGGCACGGGACTCGTGCGAGTGGCGTCTTGGGGCGAGGAGGCTAGGGGGGGGGGGGGTCGGCGCAAGCAGCGGCGCGTTGCGTCCTGCGGGCGTAGCGCTCGAGCCTGGTCTTCCTGACCAAGTACCTGGCCGGGCCAAGGGGGGGGGAAAGAGCAGCTGGACTTCGCGGACGCAGATCCGTGCCGCAGTGCGAGTGCTCTCGTAATTGTCCTTCTCCTCGTCCCAGCTACGTCCTCCACTATCGGGCACGCTTCCTCCTCCTCCGCCTACATCTTCTCGAGCGTCGCCGTCGTTTGCTGTTGGCTGCTCCTCCAGCACCAACTCCTTGAGCGTAGCCAGCGCTTAGTCCTCCACCTCTCTTCCTCAGCGCCCTGCGTTTCATCCTTCTCCTCATGACCCTCCCTTCACTTTCTCCTCCCATCTTCTTCCTCGTCACGGTCGCTAAGGCTCGACTGGGACTCGGACTTTGAAATCATGTCTTCGATCGGTGCGTACTCTGCGAGCATTCGAACTGGGGCAAAGTATTCGACCGTTGTAATCGTGATGCTTCCTATCATCGTTGTCGTACTCCATCACATCCCCCAACTCAACCCAACCGTTCGACAAACTGTGGGTTTCCTCTGCCTGACGGACCCTTGTTTGAAATGTACCGGTCGGCGCCCACGGAAGCAAGCCAATCGTATCCCTCCACCGTCTGCATCCGACCCTTCCGACCATCCTGTGCCTCCCTCGCCCATCCTTCCACATCCCCTCGCCCCGTCATCCCCCCTCCCAACTCTTCTCCCACTCCATTACAATATCCCTATACTGACCTACTGCCCGCTCCCCTCCCATCCTCTTGCTCCCCCCACTTCCTTCCTCAACCTCCTCCCCTTCTCCACCCATTTCCCCCCCCCCTGCCCAAGTGCTCCCACCTCTCTGCTTCCTTGTTTCCTCCCCCTCCCCCCTCCCCTCCCCCCCCCATCTCCAGGAGGCGCCCTCCGAACCCTGCGCCCCCCAACTGTCGCTTCTCCTGCATCGATGGGAGGCGAGGGTGAGGCTCAGTTTGCCACATGCTCGACGGCTTCCGAACCCTGCCCCCGCCGTCACCGTCGCCGTCGCCGTCACCGTCGCCGTCGCCGTCACCGTCGCCGTCGCCGTTGTCTGCCGTCCCTCGTCGTCGTCGTCGTCGTCGGCGGCGTCGTCGTCGTCGTTCGACCTCGCCGTCGTCGTCCGTCGAGTGCATGGATGAGCCTTGAGCAGGAATCTGTTGAATTTTCGTTGTAATCATGTTGCCACGCATTGTCTGTATGGTTCACCTCAACCTGGGCGCTTCGGCCCCTCCCTGCAGCACCCTCGCGGAGCATTCTCGCAGGTCGCAGTTCGCAGTTCGTCGTCGTCCGTCGTCGTCATTCGTCGTCGCTGTTGTTCCCCGTCGTCCGCGGCCATCTTCCGCCGCCCGTCGAGCTGCCCGACGGGGACAGGGCTCAGATGTCGCCGCTGGCCTCTCCCTCCGCCCCCCCCCACGCCCACATCTCTCCTCTCCTCCTCTGAAGGGGCCCAGGGACACACAATCACATTGACAAATCCCAGGATCCCCCATATGCTCCCATCTTTTCTGGAGTGTTCCCCTCTCCGCCACTTCCATCCGCTTCCGCTTCCTGAGAATCAGCGTTTGCGTGTGCCTGTGTAGTTAGTTCCCTCCTAGTCCTCAGCCTCCTCTACCCTGGATTCCCTCCGCGCCCTTCGCGTCCTTCTTGTCATCCTACTCACCAATCTACCCTGTCTCTTCCCCCTTCCACCGCCTCCTGTTATCCTCCCTTTGCAATTACTCCCTCGGATATACTCGAAATCCATGGCAAAGATGCAGGATATGAATGCAAGGCCCTTGGACGTCCAATCTGGACGTCGTTGGACGTTTTAACTTGCGCAGGGAAGGTCGATAAGAAGCACGGGTGCGATGGTTGCCTGAATCATACTGCATCCTTACTGAGGCTTTGGATTGTACTGCTCTGATCTCTCCACCGAAAATAGCTGGAGAATGGCGAGCGCTGGGCCAGCGCGGGTGCGCCCGCGGGCGCAGGCGCGCGCGGCGCGGGGGGTGCCTCGCCGCCTACACTGTGGCGGGTGGGAGAGCCGGCCTCCGCAGTTGTCCAGGGAGCTCGGATACCGGCAAGGGCAGAGAGGGCCGCCAGGGCGCCGAGGCGCATTGTCGATGCATCGGCAATGCGGCGCGATCCTCCGACCCCATCTCCTCGGACCCCATCGAGGAGGCCTAGAACCCTTCCCTCGTATGGCAAAGCATTGTTTCCCTCATTCGCATGGAGATTCACATGGGGGGGCCACCCGCTTGCGTCAGCCCCATATGGGACCACAACGACAGACTTTCAGCGGCTATCCTTGTCGTCTTCCTCGCCACCCCTCCTGCTCCCGCCCACCTGCCGGAGGATCGCGCCGCATGACTGATACATCGGCGATGCATCGCCGATGCATAGGCGATGCATCAGCGATGCATCGGCGATGCATCAACGACGTCGGCGATACATCGGCGCCGTCGGCGTGGAGAGAATAGGGATCCACACCGAACTGCATCGCCGATACATCGGCGATGCGGCGCGAAACTTCGACCCCATCCACTCGGACCCCAGCTAGGAGGCCTACAAAGGCCCCTTCACTCATCTATCCGTCTCATACTCCTCGCCGCCCCTCGTGCTCCCGCCCGACTCCCGGGAAAGGGGTCGCCACACCCACTCGGGGGACATGGTCGTCTCATCCAGCCGATCCTGCTCCGCGGCAGCCTTTCCGCCGCAAGGGCAGGGGGGGCAGGGCCACGATCCCTTGCACGGGTCTACCGGGGGGGAGGAGGGGGGAGGGGGCGGAAACGAGGGAAGGGCAGGGATGGGTGAGGAAAGGGTGTGAAAATGGATGTAAGGGGGAGGGGGAAAGGAGCAGGGAGGACGTGGGCGATAGGGGGAAGAGGGAGAAAGAGGGAGAGGGGAGGTGAAAGGACGAAGGAGGGGGAACGAGGAGGTGGGGGCGTCGGGTTGCGTACGCACACAACTGCTGGGGTCGAGCGGGGGGGCACGATGACAGGGGAGAGGAGGATGATCCAAACAGAATGTTCTGGGAGGTTTTGAGGGGATGGGGGGGGCTTGGGGGGGCGGCGCCGGAGGATGAACAAGCTTCGGAATTTGAAGCGTTCCGCTGCTCTCGGATTTCGTTCCGCACGCTGTGCTACTGGCCGCTGGCCGCAGCCCGCGCCCTCGCGCCACGCAGCGCGAGCTGCCGCGCCACGCGCCGCGCGCCCCAGGCACATGTCCTGCGCATCGGCAGCAGTGCTCCTATCTTGGCGGCGCGGTGTGTCCACGCCGCCACGGCCGCGTGGAGCCGACCAGCGAATAACTGGGGGAGCTGTGGTCCTTACCCCCCTGGGGGAACCCATCGCATCGACGATCTCTCGAGAGGGGTGCCGAAGTCGATGGGTTCCCCAGGGGGGTTAGGACCACAGCTCCCCCAGTTGTGGCTGGCGTGATGGAGGTCGCGGGCGAGGACGCCCAACCACCCCTCCGTCAGGCGGGTCCAGCCCGCGCCGCACAGAGCCGTACAGACCTCCTCGCCGCGAGTAGCAGGTGCCACGAAGCCGCGGGGCGGGGGTCGAGCCGTGGGGTCGCCGGGCCTGAAGGCCCCACCCCCCCTCGCCCTGGAAGCCATGCCTAGACGAGGTGCGAAAACCTCCAAGAACGCAGGCAGGCTGCCGTGCCCAGAAGAACGGCCGTGCACGGCTTGCTGGGTGATGACGTCCGCGCCCAACGTGCTCAACATGTGGCGCTGCCAAGGCCCCGCTTGGTTTCGGAAGGCCTTCACCTTGCGCGTTGTTCCTGCTGCGACTTGCCTCTCGCATCGGGGATCTTCTGACCCGGGTCAATCCAGACCCGGGTCAGCAGGAAACCAAAAACTGCAATGCAGGAAAAAGAAACTGCAACGCAACCATCGTTCCGCCCTCGGTGCACCCCTCATGTCATGCACGCCGCGTGCCGTCTTCCTGCTCACCGCACCTCGATGTCTGGCGTGTCGTCCCCCTGGTGCGCTGGTCGCGCACTTCTTCTTGTACAAATTCTTGTGTGCGCCCGTGTTTTGGCCGCTGTCCACGCAAGACCCCCAGATCTTCTGCAATTCAATTTGCCGCTGTCGCGCTCCAACAGGCGCAGCGACTCCCGGTATGCATTCCTAGCACGCACGCGCAATAATTATGCTGATTGGTATCAACTCTTTGTCCTCCATGGTCACCGACGGGTCACTGGCGGTCAACTACAGCGTCGCTCTCTGGACTCTGATTCTTACGTTTAGCCCACCGCAGTCAACCAGACGTAGCAGTCCTGCTGTGTTTTCCAAGATCTCACGTGCCTCTGCCGCTTCTCCTGCTATGGCTATGGCGTCTGCTCGCTGTTTGCCCCCAACGAGCCGTGGTGGGGCACGCCTCCGGCGCCACCCCCTTTTTCTCCAAAGTGGTCCCCGATGCGCTTCGCCCCGAGAATTCCAAGTCTTCGGCTCTTGGCGCGTCCCAAACGGCCCGGATGCGCGCACCGTTACAAAGCAGTGCCTCTTCTTGCGCAGCCCTTGGCATGAGGTGGCTAAGCGGCCCAGAAAAGCCCGTCTCCTTCAGACCTCGCCAGCACGTCCGGCAGCGCGTGCACGTCTGCACTGTTGTTCTGCTTTGGTCCAGGTCGCGGTCCTCTGCTCTTCGTTTCCACTTAGAGGGCGCCTTGGCTACCCTCTGCGCGTGCCCTTCCACGCCTTGTGCAGATTGGGGCGGCTGCGTGTTCTCCGCCAGTCCGTCACCGCATATGCGAAGCGGCTCGCCTTCAGCTCTCCGCGCCATGATGTCGTCGCTATCGCTGTTCAGGTTTTCCATGTTCAAGCTCTCCACCGTGCGCGTCCTCCATTGCCTGGGGGCATGCCCCTGGGCCAGCGCATGTTTCTGCTTTGCCGCGCTCGGTCAGGTGCCGCGCGTTGTCGCCGTTGTCGCGCCCCTCCACCGGCAGGCGCCCCCCGCGGACGACGTGGTAGTCCGCGCCTGCCCTCCGCAGCATCCTCGCGCATCGTCGATGCGATCTGGAGCTTTCCTCTTGCGTGGTCGGGCACCCGCGCAGGGC